CACATTTATGTGTATATATGTACGAGTATATTCACTTCCCAAGTGTTAGCGTTTTTTTTTCTCATTTACATTGTTTAAAAATTAATTCCCTGTTGGAAATTCTCTATTGTATATCTAATTAAATGTATAACCTAAAAATGAATAAAAATCTAAATTGTAAAATAAAAAAAAAAAATAAAAAAAGATAAAGTAATTTAATAGTTAGCACACGACATTACGTGTAAATTTATTAAATAATAACTCTATATTATACGTACCTAACATAAATTTAATATAATGTTTATATATAAGTGCATATAACATGGATTTCAGTACAGTTAATTTATTGGGCATAATGGTGATAATGACGATATGATGATATCTAAAAATAAAAAAAAAAGAATTTAATTTTTCAAATAATGATGACAGACTGAAAATGTATTTTGAATTGCAATCAGTTTAAATATGATTAACATGACACGAAATTTAATGTAGATCATCTAAACGTTAATATGAGTATACAAAAGATATTAGCAATTATTAGTGAAGTCAAGCGAAAGTATTTAGGAAATTTTTAATAATTCAGATATTTTAAATATCATGAACACTAAACAAGAATAAGTTTTTTACTGTCTTAAAGTCTTAGTGAGTTTAGAATTGCAAATTTACTATATTTACCATACAAAATCAAATTTCAAATAATAATTGGAGTTCTTAGTTAGCATGTGAAACAACGTTGGACAACCAATTTTGGTGAATTCCCACAGAAAAATATAGAGTATGTAATTAAATTATGTTGCAGCATCACTTACAACTTCATGTTAATATCACTTTTGATTTCGGCACTTTCTTCAAAAATTAAACAAAATCTCTGCATTTTTTTTCATGTGTATGATAAAACGATTCATTGATGTAATTTTTCATATTTTTCATGTGTGTGATAAAACGACATTACGTAAATAAAACGATTTCCTCCTTAATTCAGATATTTTCAATTATTATATAGGCATGTAATATGTACGTGCACATCTTAAGTATAAGTCGGTGGGTTGCCATATGTGGAAAACGTCGCCAAAATTTACCTTAATTTAGAACATAAATTTGACATACATTAAGTATAAATTATAATTTGTTATAATCGAATTGTATATTGATTTTGAGCCCAGTTAAACTCTTTAGTCCCAGTCAAATCTTTTTTATACCCTGCACTTCGTGAAGGGTATATTAACTTTGGTATGGAGTTTGTAACTACTTGAAGGAGTCATCTGCGGTATGGACATATATATATATTCTTGCTCAGCGTAAAATTCTGCGTTGATTTAGACATGTCCGTCCGTCCGTCCGTCCGTCCGTCCGTCCGTCCGTCCGTCCGTCCGTCCGTCCGTCCGTCCGTCCGATCGCACGATAACTCAAAAACGAATAATGCAATCGACACCAAACTTTCACAAGTTGCTTCTTTTGTGCCAAGGACGAACCCTATTGTTATTGGACCAATTCGGACAACGGGTTCGGGTAGCTGCTATACAACTCAAAGAGTTTATTTTAATTATTTCAAAAACTAGTAAAGGTACAAATATAAAATTTTGTATACATGTGTCCAATTATATTCTACACATGCTCTAAAAATTTTAATGAGATAGCTGCACCGGTTCGGGTGGCTGCCATACAACTCCAAAAGCAAATTTTTTATATTCGCCAAAATAATAAAGTCAGATTCATGAAACTTGGCAGTCATGTGTCCAATTATAGGTCAAATATATTTCTGAAGTTTTACAGGAATTGCTTGACAGGTTCGGGTACCTGCCGTACAACTCCAGAAGCTAATTTGAAATATTTGGAAAAATAATAAAGTCAGTTTCATGAAACTTGGCAGTTGTTTGGCGAGTTATAGGTCAGATATATTTCTGAAGTTTTGGTGGAATTGCTTGACAGGTTCGAGTAGCTCCCATACAAGTCCAAAAGCTTATTTTAAATATTTGGAAAAATAATAAAGTCAGATTCATGAGACTTGGCAGTTGTGTGTCCAATTATAGGTCAGACATATTTCTAAAGTTTTGGTGGAATTGCTTGACAGGTTCGAGTAGCTCCCATACAAGTCCTAAAGCTTACTTTAAATATTTGAAAAAATAAAAAAATTAGATTCATGAAACTTGGCAGTTGTGTGTCCAATTATAGATCAGATATACCTGCGAAGTTTTAGTGGAATTGCTTGACAGGTTCGGGTACCTGCCATACAACTCCAAAAACTAATTTTAAATATTTAAAAAAATAATAAAGTCAAATTCATGAAACTTGGCAGTTGTGTGTCCAATTATAGATCAGATATATTTGCGAAGTTTTAGTGAAATTGCTTGGCAGGTTCGGGTACCTGCCATACAACTCCAAAAGCTAATTTTAAATATTTGGAATAATAATAAAGTCAGATTCATGAAACTTGGCAGTTGTGTGTCCAATTATAGGTCAAAGATATTTCTGAAGTTTTGGTGGAATTGCTTGACAGGTTCGAGTGGCTCCCATACAAGTCCAAAAGCTTATTTTAAATATTTGGAAAAATAATAAAGTCAGATTCATGAAACTTGGCAGTTGTGTGTCCAATTATAAGTCAAAGATATTTCTGAAGTTTTGGTGGAATTGCTTGACAGGTTCGAGTGGCCCCATACAAGTCCAAAAGCTTATTTTAAATATTTGGAAAAGTAATAAAGTTAGATTCATGAAACTTGGCAGTTGTGTGTCCAATTATAGGTCAGATATATTAGCGAAGTTTTAGTGGAATTGCTTGGCAGGTTCGGGTACCTGCCATACAACTCCAAAAGCTAATTTTAAATATTTGGAAAAATAATAAAGTCAGATTCATGAAACTTGGTAGTTGTGTGTTCAGTTATAGGTCAGACATATCCGTGAAGTTTCTATAGAATGGTTTCACAGGTTTGAGTAATTGCTATACAACAATGAAAGGTGCAGGGTATAATTCAATCGGTTCATACCGACTGAAACGTTTTTACTTGTTTACATTTTTTTTTGTACATGAATACGATTTTTGAGTTTTTTAATGGGTTCTTAAATTGATTTAATATCTTGAGCATTATAAAAGTAATTCTTAATGATTTAATCGATTTGATTCCTAAAAAAAGACAAAAAATATTTTTGAAAAATATTAAAAGAAAATTAAAATAAATGTGTTATACCTTCATTCTTTCATATCTGTTTGCAACTCAATTTCGGATTGAAAATTAATGTCATGAACTAAAACAGCTTTTATCAAAAAAAACCAATTGAATTTCAATGAAGAAAATTATCTTTCTAAAATAATTTTTTTTTTTTCGATATTTTGAAAATTTTATAATTTTGAAATATGTATACATGTATATATGTATGTAAATATGTATATATGTATGTACTTTCTTTTTTTATATAAATTGAAAATATTTCAAATTCTGCATGCTTAATTAGAAATTTATATAGAGAGTTAGTTAGAGAGTTTATATTTAGTACGTAAGCATTGAATGTACTCGTAGATTAAGTGTAAACTTGAGATTAAGAGATACGATTAAGATTAAATATTAAATATAATATTTGTGTTTTAATGAAATTCATTTAAATTAATATAAATTAAGTATAAAGTAAAATTTGTGTTATGATCGAATTGAATAGTGATTCGGAGCCCAGATAAATTCTAGTCCCAGTAAAAAATTTGTTTGATTTTTTTTTATAAATACGTTTTTAAATTAATTTTAACTTCTTGCACCTTGATTTAATTAGAAAAAAAAATTTAAATACAAGTCATATAAAGAAACAAATAAATTTTTTTTACTGATAAGTTTTTATTGGTAGCCCAATTATTTTTAAAAATTTCTATAATCAACCCATAATATAATCTAAATTTATGATGTGTTTTGATACAAATTTTTAAGAAATTCACATAATAAATTTTATTTTTCCATACAGCATTTTAATTAACATAAATTAATTAATTAAATATTATTTATAAGTTATACTTTTACTTTCCTTTTATCGAACAAAATAAATCAATAAAATATTAAGTTACATTATTATAAATTTAGTTTCCTATGATAAAAATTTCATCTAAGTTTATCATTAATCTTCTTTCAATCTAACGTACTATCGATTTCTTAAAATTCGATCAATTTATAATTCCAATTTGTTCATATTAGACTTATCTCTTATTTTATAAGAAAATTGTATCTAAAAATGTAAATGTTTATATTTGACATAGCAAAGTGTGAAGAATAAAAAAATTTAAACCTCTGTGGGGGGGCTTAAGTAAAATGAAATCATTTTTTTCTTATGCGAAATTCGAATTAAAATAAGAATGCTTACATGAACATAAACTCTTAACAAATGAAACTGTTATATAGACCTGACATTCTCTTTCCACAATTTAAAGTGTTTTGTTTTTTAGTTTACGTTTTACGTATTCTCTGTTTTCATTTGCATACATGTATTTTATTATACACTCATTTTTACAATACAATATATTGAACTGAAAATTTTACTTTTATTTCGATTTAAATATCACTTTATCGTCACGCCAATGTTATACTATATACAAACATATATATTTATTGATTTATTTTCCTGACCACTTTGTCACATTGCCAGAGTATCAAAAACTACTTACACAGTCTCTTTAACAGTTAAAACTTTTCATTTCTTGTACTAAAATTTTATCATTTATTTAAAGAGTTTAGAAAGAGAAGGTTTTTTATAATATAAATAAGAAAATAAAACAAAAGTGAAATAAAAATATTAGTAAAATTCGAAAGCAAATATTTATTGAAAAAGAAAATATAAAAATTTCTTTTCTCCCATAACATTCTCTTATTACCATACACGCATGGCATACATATTGAATTCATATAAAAACTAATGTAAACTTTTAATTTAATTTCAGTTTTCTTGTTAACGCGACAGTGAAAATATCAATCACATTTTAAATGAAATCGATATAAAATCGATATAAAATCGAATAATGTTTTATATAAAAATAACCAATATTATAGTGATTTTAATTGTTTTTCAATCAACGAGCGGTAAAAATAATGAAATCATAGGGAATGTAAAAGATTTAGCAGATATTGAAATTGTAACAGCATTAGGTAAAGTACGCGGTACATATTTAACATCACAAGCCGGTAGAAATTTTTATGCATTTCGTGGTATAAGATATGCACAACCGCCAATTGGATTTTTACGTTTTAAAGCTCCGGTAGCTGTCGAACAATGGTTTGATATATTTGATGCAACAAAAGATGGACCAATGTGTCCACAAGATGGTACAACAACTGATGATATGTCTGAAGATTGTTTACGTTTAAATATTTATACACCTGATCTACCAAGATCTGATTCTGTAAATGAAGAAATTAAAAAACCAGTTATTGTATTTTTACATCCTGGTGGATTTTATTCATTATCGGGACAAAGTAAAAATTTTGCCGGACCACATTATTTTATGGATAGAAATGTTGTTTTAGTAACATTAAATTATCGATTAGGATCATTAGGATTTTTAAGTACTGGTACATTAGATTCTATCGGTAATTTTGGTTTAAAAGATCAAGTAATGGCATTAAAATGGTTAAAATTACATATATCACGTTTTGGTGGTGATCCTGGATCTATAACATTACTTGGTTATGGTGCTGGAGCAATGGCTATCAGTTTACATATGATTTCACCTATGTCAAAAGGTTTATTTCATAAAGTAATATTAATGAGTGGTTCAGCTACTGCTCAATGGGAAATACCAAAACATCAATTACATTTAGCACGAAAACATGGTGCTTTAATGAATTGTACTGATCATAATACAATGGAATTAGTAAATTGTTTGAAAAAAGTAAATTTTAATAAAATATTACACATTACAGTAATAGAATTTAATTTTAATACAAATATATTGTTTCCATTTTCAGAAAGATGCTACAGAAATTGCTAGTAAACAAAATGAATTATTCGAATTCGGAAAATATAATCCATTTTTAGTATGGAAACCAGTTATTGAACCAGATTTAGGGCAAGAAAGATTTCTTGATGATGATCCAATTAAATTATATCAACGCGGTAGATTTATGAGAATACCAATAATAGCTGGTGTAACTGATAAAGAATTTGTTGGACCTGCAATTGGTAAAATTGAATAAATTTCTCGCAATGAAATCAAAATTGAAATTTCAAATTTGCAATTTTTAGCAATTTTACAAAATGAAACGTTACGTAGAGAAATGGATGAGAAATTTGATGATTTAGCTCCAATTTGTTTCCTATATGAACGACATACTCCAAGATCTAATTTAATAAGCAAACGTATACGAAAGAAATATCTTGGTGGAGGTTTATTACATCCGGAACGTTCATTGGAAGGTTTATCTCAGGTATATGTCACTTCTTAGCTCATTCATTTAATTTATTTTTGAAATTATAAAGCTTTTTACGATTTTTAGCTTTATGCTGACAGTCTTATTGGATTCGGTGTACATCGTTTTGTACGATTGACTGCAAGATTAACTAGAGTTTTTTACTATCAATTTAGTTATACCGGTAGATTTAGTCATCTATATTATCCAGAAGATAAACCATATGGTAAATATTTGATTTTTTCAAATTTCTTCAAAACAAAATTTATTATTTGTCTTATTCAGGTGCTGTTCATCATGATGATTTAATGTATCTATTTACACAACCATCAATAACATCAATGTTTGCTGATGATGATCCAGAATATCGAATGATGCAAAAAATGACTAGAATGTGGGCAAATTTTGCTTATAAAGGGTGATTTAACAAAAAATTAATTCAATTCAGTTTATGAATAAAAGTTTACATATTTGTAGCGATCCAAATAAAAATAATGATGAATATTTACGGGCAATGAGATGGAGACCATTTAATTATAGAGCTGAACCATACTTGCGTATTGGAAAAGATTTACAAATGGCAGAATTTTTACATCCTGATAGATTTGAGTTATGGAAAGATTTGTTTCCATTGAATTGGTTACCGCCACGAAGAGGAATTATTGGTTTCGGTTAAATATCTTATTGATATTAATAACTTTCAAGCATTTAGAGATATTTTTATTTATTTTAATTTATTTAACTATTTATTTATATATTTATTAAGCTTTTTAATAAAAAATTTAAGTAGACTGATGAAAATTCAATGCATTTTTTAAAATAATTTGCAATTATAAATTTAAACAGCACCCGTTTTTTCACCACCAAAATAATGGAACTGTGAAAACTAATTATTTTTACTGTTTGATTTTTTGGATTTGTTAAAACTATTAACTGAAACGAAATTAAAAACTTCAACGTTTTCAATTAATCTATTGACCGCAAAAATTTTAAATGATTTCCTTTGACACTTTGTAAAATTTCTTAATTATATCGAAAATACCTAATTTATTCCGGTTGAAATATGTATGCTAAATGCTTATAAAAGTCTTGGTCAATCAAATAGTGATATAATCTAATAAACAACAAACTTGAATACAACAAGAAATTTAAATACAACAAACTATTTGATCAAAATTAATGTGATTTAAGAGTCGAAAAATCGAAAAATTTTGCCTAACACAGCAATTAAATTTTTTCTAAACGTAACTCCCGATATACATCTATTCCAATCTCGAAAACTTTTTTAAAACTTCAAAGCAATGGAAACCAAGAGAAAAGAAGAATTTCTGCAAGCATTGCAAATGAAAAGTTCGCAATAACTCAATCAACGTTTTTAAATATTTTGAAACTTAAAAAAAAAAATTAAAAGCAGATGCTTTTAAAATCGAAATCTGATTTCAATATTGTCTATTGTAAATGTTTGTACGTATGTAAATGTACATGTATACATATTTAATGTGCATAAATAAATTTATATACGACTGATAATGAACATTATCCCTCCGAACAACAGAAAAAAAGTAAACAGATAGCAGAGTTAAAAAAAGAACTATAAAGATCGCGTCTTCGAAACTGAAAAGGTTCAATGTGATTCAATTGCTTTTGTTTTTTTTTTCTTTTTTTTTTTTACAAGTTTTACCTTTGATATACGAAAAAATAAATTTTTTTCCCTTTTTCTCGATCTCTGAAAATTGATGCTGTTATTTGTGCTTTTCTTTGCTCTTTTCCTTTTATTTTTTGCTCGCCAGATCATCATATGAATACGGATGGTATGTTTACTTTCATTAGAACTGGTAAAAAAGCAGTGGAAAACATGAGGTGTGTGCGAGTATACCTTTTTACCTTTGTAGTTTGTACCTCAAATTTTTTTTTATATTTTTTTTTTTATTCAACGAGGAAGCAACTATGGAATGAATTTGAAATTTTTTTTTGAATTGCGCAAAAATGATCCTCTCACAAAGAGTATACGATTTTTATACATACACTTATATACGAGTTACAAACATGAGTACGTAAATGTATGAAAATGTAAAACGGTTTTCTTTTTGTTTATTGGACTTTTTATAGTGCTATTCATCAAAATTTTAGAGCGCTTCAGCATACCGTTTGGCACACTTTTTGTGTAATGCACGCGTGAAATTCGATCTGTGTTAAGGTGAGTTTTTAATTTAATTTTTGTTTTTACTTTTCCATATTATTATATTGATTGTGGCATGCATTAATTTCTTTTTGTATTATCTTCTTTATTTATATATGGAATTTTATCCGTATTTTATTGGGTAAGCAGCAATTGTAGGAACTCTAAAATGAAAAAAATATAAAAGAAATAATGTAGTGAACAATTGAATAAAAGGATAAAAATAGACGTGAGTTATCAAATTAAAAACGATTTCATTAACGTCGATGCTATTTTTTAAGTTCATTATTTAAGGTCTCCATGTGTTCGTCTGGAGACTGAATTCACTATTTTTTGTTTTTTTTTTCTGATCTAATATTATTTGCTTTTTCTGTTTAATTTTCTTGAAATATTATGAACTAAAGATTTTATATCAAGAATTAAGATGTTTAGATATCAAAGAAAAACCTTGAAAATTTCGAGAAGACAAAGGAGAGATGAAAGAAACATTTTTCAAAACAATAAATCAAACATAACAGCGCAAAACAAAATTTTTCAAAAATACATACGGTGAGAAGCACTTGAAGAAATTACACAAATATTTAGATATTCTTTATCTAAAAATTTTAAAGCAGAAAAAGATGAATGAGTTATGCTTCTTTTTCCAGGAAACTAAACGAAAATATATAATCTGTGAAACTCGATTATTCTATTCTTGAATTGGTGACAAATTTAATTGACAAATTTAGAAAAAATTTGAATTTATAAGTGAAATCTTGTTTTAAAAATTTTCAAAATTCAAATAAAAATACAAACTAAAATCGGATATGATGTCGGTAATTTCAAGTATTTTAATTAATTAAAATTATATATTTTTTTAATAATATTATTTTTCCACTCTCAATATTGAGTTTTAAACAAACAAATCGACAGTTCTTACACCAGCTAAAGCTAATTGTTAGGTTCTTTCAATTTTAATAATGTCGGGAAAATTTAACAAAAAAAACTAAGTATATGATTACAATATAAACTCACTTGGTTTAATATTAAATTCAATGTTCATTCACTATTAGCTTCCTTATTATATATACTTATATGTATATCTAATAATATAAAATCTACAAAATCACAATAATAGATTTTAATAACAATCGCGATATCTATCAAATTAAAGCAAACATACGCATTCCACACTTAATGCTCATATATAAAAATATTGACGTCTGACAGACGTCAACAAAATACCCACAAATTAATAGTGAATTAATGATTATCAAACTTTCTATACTTTTATACAAAATAAAGGAAAATTAAGTATAACAATAGAATATTTTACTATAGTATGAAAATTGTTAGAATATTAATTGTATATATTTATATATATTGAATTTAATATGCATTAAGGATACATCAAAAACATTATACACTACATTCTATTAGGATATATACGGTTTACTTATACTAAAATATGAAATGACGATTTTATTTGATAAACGGCCATTTGTAATTAAGTATTTTTTTTTTCCTGTTATGCATAAATTAATAACAATGCTATTTAACTATTTGCTGTCTTATATTTAAGTGCACATATGCACATCTCGTACATTATGCATAATATCAAAATATCAAGTAAATTTTCATACATACATGACTTGCACCCAATGTACACATTATATTCTAAATTTTGAATAATAGTTTTACCGTTTTACGTACAACACTAAACGGTATCTTCTTTTTTAGAAACTATGTTATTGTCATCAGGATTGTAAAAATTCACTTCCCCTTTTTTCTATTTAATAGAAAGTAAATATTTTGTAGTGGGCTTCTATTTTGGTTAATTTACTAGAAAAAAAAAATACAATACAAAAAAACTACCTAATAATGACCATAAACATTGAAATTTACTCAAGCGAACAATGTCCTTTTAGTCCTTTTTTAATAGTTTTACACTACTGAATTTGAAAACACTTCTTCTTTTTTTTTTTTGTACAACACTCAACACTATATGAATTTTTATAGTTTGTTACAGACAATAATGATTAGACCATGACCAAAAAAAAAAGAGCAAAAAAAAAAATATAAAATTTTGGTTTTCTATTCATTTTCAATAACAAATTTTGTGGTAAACCTTAAATCTTAATGTTTTAATGTTAATTTTTATTATACATAAAAATTTTTATGTTAAGCAATTTTCTTTTTTTGTTCTTTATGAATTGGGGTTCCTTTTTGGTTTTTTTTTTTAGAGATCTAATATTTTTGTGCAATATTGAATACAAATAATAAGAGGTTCGCTCTTTCACATTTTGTAGAAAATTTTCCAACATGAATTGAATTAAATGCTAATTTCCTTATTATAAATTATTAATTGAATGGAAAAAAAAATTGGGAATATCAAAGGGAATATTATCAATAAATTATAAGAAGAATGTCAATTAGGAAATTTATTACTTTTTACTTTAATTAAATATTCATAAAAATAAATATTTTATTTTGTGTATTCAAAACTTCTGTTATTTGTTTTTTAAATTGTTTCAATTGTAATTTTTATATTTGTTTCGGGACGTTAATGTCTCTGAAAACTCATATGGTTCAACGTGTGACCTATCATTCTCATTTGTTTATTTAAACCTGAGTATTCGATTGAATTGCTTTATAATTCAAAATTAAGCTTTTTGTAAGCAATAAGAAAATCATAAACAAATCATTCTTTTAAGATATTAACAAATCATTTTAAAATCGTGAAAATATTGCACGTTACAACTAATCAGTAAAAAATTTAAATTATTTTTAATCAGTAACTGAAAATTGTTTTAAACAAATTGGAAAAGCTTTTACAACATAAAATTTTGTACCCAAAACTAGAACTCAATTTTATGTATGTCACGGTTTTCAATTTACAATTTATGATTCTCACTATTTTTCTATCTAAAAATTTATGATTCTCAATCTTGATGCCTCTAGCATTTCAAACATTCGTCACTTATTTTCTAATCGAATAAGTTTTCTTCCCTTATTTCAATAGTTTTATTAAATTCCGAATAATTCGATTAATTAGGACTCAAATAATTTTCACGATTTCCAGTTTAAATAATATTAATCATATTTCAAATTGCATCTGTAAGAATACAATATACAATAATTTTATTTTCTTCATTTTTGTTAAAAATTTTCACAAAAAAAAGATTAAATAAATTTATAAATAATTAAACTTTTATCTTTGTTCCAATTATCTGCAAATTGATAAGAATTTTATATAAAAGCATTGGCATAGATAAATAAAAAATTTTCATTATTAAACAAAATTTCAAATATTTTGACCTCCCATAAATTCGTTTTAAAACTTTTTAAATAAAACCTTCCCAAAATATCTATACAATAATGCAAAACTGTATTGTATTACGTTAACAAAAAACTAAAAATAAAAAAATATGAACCACATATGAAATAAAATCTGTTTATCTTTAAAAAAAAAATCCTTTCTGTAGAACACAATCATAACAAAATGATCTTTTCATATGAGTAAATATTTTTCATTTTAAAATGCGATTGTTATTTTAATTTTTTCATAATTTAAAGAACAGGTTTATTTTACAATATTAAATAATATGTGTATTTATTTACATATATAATGTTCACATATTATATACTAAGCATATATTTGAATTTAAATGAGCAACCCACTCGAAAAAAAAATTATCTTATTACATAAGCATACATATACACACATTATGCATATTCTAGCGATAATCATCATTACTCATATCAATTAACATAAAAAATTTAAAAACTCCACTTTTATAATAAACAATAAAATAATCAGAGGAATAAATAAAACAAAACACACAACAGACCCCTGATCCTTTTAAAAGAAGAACCAAAAATTATATTGTACTGAAATCAGAAAACAATTAAAACAATATGTGCCAGAGACATACAAAATTTGATCCCAACATTTTTACTCCTTTTTATAGAAAACGAAAAAAAAAAAAACAAAAACAGAATAAAATAATAAGAATCCAAACAAAAGGGAATCCTTTTGTGTTATACTTAATCAAAAAAGTAAAACAGAAATTTCATTTGAATCGTCCTTTTTTTTTCTTAAAAGTAAATTAAAATTTTGTTTTTTATTAACAAAAGAAAACAAAAAACTACTACGTAACTTAAAGAATATTACAAATTTGGTCAGAAGGATAACCATTACGATTATTATGCAAAAAAAAGAATCTCTTTATATAGGTAAAAGAATTGTTTTCTTTCTTTTTAAATTAAATTTAACTTTTGTTTGGAAAAAAAATTTCTATATTGAATTTGAATGAGCCTTAAAATGAATAAGGTCTAAAAATGTATTAAAGGTCTATTAAAAATCATCTTCTCCCATTTCCAATATAGAAATCTAAACAAAATTTACATTTATTATGCCAATTTAGACAACAAACAACATTTTCTGTAAGATAAAAAAAAATAATAAAAATGCTGAAATTTTTTAAAAAATTTCCTTTCAAAACAGATGGGCATACACGTACTACTATTATAGAATTTTTAACGGAGTCCACCTGTGAAATAAGGATCCAATTATTAAATTTCCGTTTTAATCCTCACTTTTTCCAATTTCTAACTTCTTTGTACAAGAAAATTTTCTAATTCTAAAATTTTCATTTAATATAATAATAAGAGACGTACTCGAAACATAATTATTTGTATTAAAAATTTAAGAATTTTGGTGTCTATTTGCATTACCAAACATTTGACATATGCAATTATAATAATAAAAATAAATTCCATAATAAATTCCAACAATTTGGCCTGTAAGATTTAAAATCAAAATAACACGTATTTTTTTTAAATTGCCTAATACATTTAATTCATTTAAATATATTATGTAACATAAATGATATGACTAGGTACAAATTATAAATAACATCAAAATTAATCAGAAAAAACTATTAATAAATTATTAATAAGAGCAGACAATATTTTGATTATTATAAATAAATTATAAATAATAAATACAATAAGCTTATGATCGTTCAGTAAATACCAACCACTTTAAATATAACATACAATTATAACAATAAGTATTATTATTATAACAATAATAAAAATTTCTTAAAAACAAGTGCATATAACAATGAAAATCCTTGAAAAATAAAAAAGCATTATCATTTTTTGAGACCTCCTTGAAATTAAGGATCATATTTGTACTTTAAGTACAAATGTCTTACATCAATAAAAACGAAGGAATTTCAAGCCCCCAAAAAAATTTTCTTTTTTTTTTTTCATACATAAAATTATTTTTATCCCAGTTGGAAATAAGGGAAGAAGTATTTATTTTTTTTTGTATTGTTCAATTTCAGTTTTCTTCTTCAATACAATAAAAAAAAGTAGAAGTGTGACTAATAAATTCGGTATTTTGTTATATACTTCATATTTTATTATAATATAGAACAAAAGGATTGTATTAAGGATAATAGAACAAAACGAAGATATTATTATTTTAAAAGGATTTTTTTCTTTTGTACTTAAATTGTAAACTATTGTATTTGCTCTTCTATTTTGACATTACGACAATTTATAGCATAAAAATGTCCTTTATATTTTTTAAAACCATAAAACCTTTGAAAATTAACTATAAAAATTTAGTAATATTAATAGTAATACAATTTTTATTTTAGATTGTATCAGGTTATTATTAAATGAAATTTAATAATATTTCAATAAATTTTTTTTTTAATCTTGATCCAATTATGAATTAGTAGAAAATGAAGAACACCCAAAATTTCTAAGAATTTATAATAAAAATATACCTACTTGTATAAAATTAATTACTAACTGAAATAAATATTAGATAAAATGGCATTTAATCAACCGAATTATTAATACCCCTAATACCGAAATAATACAGAAATCAAACCACATTGTTGGACACTAATTAAAACCCAGAAATACATGGTCCACCAAAACAAGTAAATTTCTAAAATGTTTATGGTTCAACTAAATTTAAATATACATATGTAATAAAAAATACTACAAGTTTTAAATTTAAATTTACTTCAATATTATCATGTAGATTACAATCGATATTAAAGTTTTAGGAATAGGTACACATGCATACAGTTACAAATGTACGTACAATTGTAACTGGATCCTAAATTAGTAAATCGCAATATAGAATCATCTTTTAACACGCAATAATTAATTAATTACACTTAATTACACTATTAAATATTTATTCAACAAAGCTATTAAATTACCTAAAGTATATGAGATCCGCGATTAAAAGTTTCATCATAACTTTCCCACGCTTCTTCTAATTTCCCACAATCAAGCAAAACCTTTCCCAAAATAAGCTAAAAATAATAAAAAATAAGATTATTACTAATCATTTTATTACATATTAACGATAATTAAATGTTTCACTATACTCACTATAAAAATTCTCAAACCACACCTTTCTTACACTTTAAAACCCTAAGGGAATTTAAAAACAAAAAGGTTATTCTTTTTCATTAAACAGTCTTTCTAGATTCGATCGACTTTTATCACCTATTTTTTATGAAGGTATCTAGTATCTCTATAATAAACGAATGTTAAGAACGCGCGTGGCTTATTAATCTTATAATTGACCCAAAACATATTACAATTTTAAAAATTTTATATAGAAAAACCTAAACCAAAAAACAAAATTCTCATGAAACATTAACGGAGTTGCGTGTTTCAATATAATAATTTTCTTTAACACCATATCCTTATTATAGAATTGTCCGTTTTCCATTAGCCCTTAAATAGTACTTATGTTCCTTTTCTTGTTTAAAATCAACATAAAATCTTCACAAAAAATTTTATAAATTCTATATTAAGATAATCTTGTGAAATCACATGTCCTTGATAGTTTTAAAGCAAACACTATTTGACCCTCTCAAAATGTTTTACATCCTTTTCAGTATTGAATTTATGAAAATGCAAGATACTTAAATATATCAAAAATATTTTTGAAAGTATTGAAAACATAATTTACACCTGGAAAGGACCTGCTGAGAATTTTTTTTGTTTTATTTTTACTGCGTACATTTATGTATATATATCTATTTGTTTAAATAATGAATATGAAAAGGATAATGTTCTTATTAAAATTTTTTAATCTTTACTTTTTGATCTTAGAATTGTGCGCATTTCTTAAACATTTTATGTAATATTTTTTTGTTCATCAATTTGACTTGTTCCTTCTTTGAATGTTCATAATGGGTTTCAAGAAACTTGATCATTAGAAATATTGTTTCAGAAAAATCTTTTAATGGCTAGCAAACTATTATTCTAAAATGGTAAACTTGACATGAATTTTTATACTGTCTTTTGTTAATCATTTATAAAAAAAAGAGCACAAGGATATGTTTGCGGTCCATTTCAAATATTTACAAAGAAAAATAAACAAAGTTTCAATTCTGGTTTTAAATTAATGAATCAGAAGTCAAAAGGTTTTAAAGCTGAAAATAAAAGGATTATGTTTCATATTTTTTGATAGATATTTGAAACAATGTTAGAATATTGATGACTTAATTTGATTTAATTCAATACTTTCAGACTATAGCAGCATGTTAGTGATAAAATAATGAATGTCTTGTAATTTTCGAATCCTAATAGAATTTTATGTATTTAAATAATTACCAGGTGAAAAAATATGTATGTATCCATAAAGCACCTGCAAAATATGTTGATCTAGAAAAACTGATATTAAAATTTTATATTATTCTTACGCGTTGCTCCTCTATTTTCATAGTTTCGTATTTTAAAGAATACATTTGTTTAATTAACCACTTGAATATAAATATTTAAAAAAACATAAGCTTCTTGAATAAAAAAATTGCCACAATTTTCAAATGTTTAATTTACAGTAATTTCAGATTTGCGCCATGATGATTGATGACTAAGCATTTTCATTTGACAAATTATTTTTATTTGTAGGCAGTGTTGCCGTCACAGAAGGCAATTCTCCACTAAAACGCTATCATATTTTGCACGTTGATTACACGTTGATTATTAAATTTTGAATAAGCAACTGTCGTTTCACGTTTAGCTATACAGCTCGGTTGGACAACATTAATGATTGATTTTGAAAACAACATTTTTCACAATTATAAATTTCAGAGAGAAGAAAAGTACTATATACTTGTCCAAATTTCGTTATAGTGTTATGCGAAAGACAGTGTATCCATCAGTGCAAAAAATGAATATGATCAATACGAAAAAATGTGTCATCTCGCTAATACAGCTTTTTGAAGGCGTCATATATTTCTTGGATATAATAATTATAAGTTATCAAGTATAAGTCTAGTTTTACCTGTTCTGATTTTCCTGTTTTTTTACTTTTTAAACAACATATAATTTATTACAAATTTTAGAACAGAAAATTAATTTTTTTATTAAAATCAATACCTATGAAAATCTATAAAAAATAAATGACATTTTATAAATTAATCATATTTCAGTATTTGACCTACAAAACAAATGAAACAAACAAAACACAGTAAAATATTAAAATCCTCAACAAAATTGAAAAAATATTTTCTATATGAAAATAATTGATAATTTCAAAAATAAAACGAAGATATTATAAATTTCAATACCAGAATAGAAGTAACAATAGTTATTGCTGAAATTCTCATTTTTCATTAAGTAACTGCTTACATATACAACAAAATCTTCCATTTAATCTGCGTTTGATGCAAGTCGTAAACCTTGTTTGACATCAGACTTTTGCTTAATGGAGTATAACAGCAATAACTCTATTCTCATTAGATTTGCTGTCAAATTTTTGAAAGTAAAATGGTGGCAATTAATTTTTGGGGAAACTTGGAGCCGTAATCAGCTGACTTTTATCTTGGTTACACTTATAGTTTGCGTAACAAATCGCTAAATTTGACGTAGAGTGTGAGATAATTTTATTCTTATATGTAAACAATAATCAGACTTTGTCGTAAATTAAGGATAAGTAAATAGCCGTAATAAATGAATAAAACTGCTCTGATACGACTTCATTTATTATATTATGCAACTGTGTTCATCATATGAAAAAATTTTGACATTTGATCAGATGTTTTTTCGAGTAGTGGAACGGCTATAATTCCTATTTACATAAAAATTTGAAGGCAATTGTACTCGTATGTATTTTCTTCTTTAAAAAAATAAATTAATTTAATAATATGTTGGAGTTAATGTATGTAGATCGCAATGTGAATAAAACATATTGCTGAAATGTCAACTGTCCAGCTAAGGTTTCAAATTACGATTTAAGAAGTCATATAATAAAATCAACAATATAAAAAACCTAAAGGTGGCAAGGCAAAGTACTTTTATTTCTATTAAAAAATATGTAACACGAATATGTCAAAAAAATCAATTTATCAAAAAATGATTTCAACAAAAAAAAAAACAAACAAAAGATTGGAGCCTTTAAATCAATTACGTAAAACAGTTAAACGTTTATAACTTTGGAACTATTTTTTTTTGTATTTTTTTTTCAATTTCTCAAGAGTTTTAATTACTTTGTGATAAATTGAAAATTTTTCAAATTCACTTTTTTTTAAACCATTTTTTTTTCAAAAATATTATATAGGTGAAAATATTCAAATCATCTTTCTTCATCTTATGGTTTCTTTATCATAAATCACGTGTCCAAATGATATGAAAATTTTACTATTAACAAAATTTAAATTAAAAAAAAAATTGGAGTTTAAATAGAACCTAGTGGCGCCTAAATAAATAAATCGATTATTGTTGAAAGTTTTTTTTAAGCTGTTTAAGATTATGACGTTGATTAGTCTTTTTTCAAGCGAGTAATTTTGTAACTGTTATAATCATATATCACAAAATTATTGAAATTTTCATAATTTTTTTTATAATTTAAAAAAATTACTTAAAACGTTTAAGATCTGAGGATTTGTTTAATAAAATTAATATTAGACCAATGTTCTTTGAAACTATTAATAGTTTTGATTAGGAAAGTTTATGCTGAAAAGGGGCATTTTGATATTCTGTATGTATTTTCCAAACACAATCAAATAATCTTTGGAAAAGCTTACGTAATCAATTTAAATTCTAAAATTTTGTGCAGCTTTGCGCTCCAATTATAAGTTCTTAAAAATGCTTGAGTAATGAAGTAATTAACCAAAAAGATTCTACACTAAAGTAAAAAATTCAAGTAGCGTCTGTTCTATTGTTTCGATAATATGAACTGACACAAATAGGAGGATCCTATACACCTTAAAACAAATTATTATAAATGTAAAACATATAAAATACAATATATAAAACTCGATCTAACACAAATTGGGCGATAAAACTTAACTTTCAAAAAAAAAAATTCAAAATTTTTTAAATCTCATTTATAAAAATCAATCAATTTTCATTTTGTATACAATATCTAATGATTTAAATCTTTTTGTTTAAAGTAATTTCAGTCAGATCTCAATGATTTTACCTATATGTATATATTGTAGATGCAATATATACCGATGATAATGATTTAAAAATGTATTTATAGGTATGCATTGATCGATGGGAAAATTATTTCAATATCTAAGAACTATATTGACCCTATTGAACTTTCTCTTCAATTTTTTTTTGTTTTCAAAATCATCATCATCATCATATGGTGCTACAGCCCGGGGTGGGCCTTGACCTGTTGTACAATCATCCTCCAAAGATTTCTGTCGGCTGCACAGCTTCTCCAGTTGGTAACGCCAACTTTTCTCAAGTCCTGTTCTATATTATCTTTCCATCTGAGCCTAGGTCTGCCTCTGCTGCGCGTATTCATTGGTGTAGCCCTCATTATTGATTTTGGCAGTCTTTCTTCCGGCATTCTATACACATGTTTTCAAAATAATACTCTTTATTCTTCTTTTGTTGTTAGAGAACGGTAGTAAAATGAGTTTGGAAGAACGGACATCAAAAAAAATTTAAGATATTAGATATGAAAGTGAACGAAGTAAAATAGAGGAGTTTCAAAATTTTGAATTTTATTCATTTTTCGTATAATACTTGTTAGTTTATGAGCCAAAATCTTGGCGACTAAAAAAAGTTATGAACATGGGAATATTATTAAAATAGTTATTTTTTTGCCAGTGGCAATTGAAATTTTTTTTGTTATGAAAAATATTTTCTGTAATTAAAAATTCATTTTCACATACGTACCTATTTAGAAATGGATCCCACACATAAAGTTTGCGGTTGACTAATTGAGCTACATTTCTGTTTAAAAGTATTACAACCATTTATGTATGCAATTTTTATTTGATGAAATTTGCAAATTTGACATGTTTATTTAAAATGGTTTTAATAATTTAACTAGTGA